TGCGATCTGAAATGATCAAATGCTGAGTGGGGGAACCTTCTCGGCCACTCGAACCCGGCGTAAGGCTTATATTAAACGCTTCTCACGCGCGGCATAGTGGCCTCGATTCCACTCTGTTGGGTTATGGACAGGGGAATGCTGTTTTCTTCGTCTCTTGAGCGTGAGCGAGATCAATATTGTTTGATTTTGCTGTCCGAATCTTTTGATCTTTCAAGTCTTCACTTGTATCCTCGTTGGCCATCCCTTTATCACCCCCTTGCATTTGACGGGAGGGTTATTGCATTGTGAGGCTCCATCTGCTATCCGTGTGCTTCTTCTTTCCTGAACGACATGATTACGCGTGACTTGGTTCACGCTTTGTTGGTTCGCGGTGAATGCCCTGGTTTGCTGCTATGCATCTCTCTTCATAGTCTTGGCATGTCCGATCTGCACTCCGCTAACCTGAAGCTTTTCTTTTTGTCTTAGCCAAAGCCGGTCTTCGAAGAGTTGCATTGGCCAATTTCTTTCCGCGCCTTATCATAAATGTATCCCTCTTTGCCCCCCCGGGCGGTTGTCCTTCGCTGGGACACTGTTACTTTGATCCGAGCTGCCGACTGCAGAGCAGGTAATCCGATTCTTCATCTTGCGAGGCAAGCTTGTCCGACCCTACATAAGTTCCTCTGTTGCGATGGCTGGACTGCCAGACGGAGTACCGCCGAGACTGCTTCAGAAGAAACGACTTGAGTTAACCTGTGTCGATGTCTCTTTGCTGGTCATGTGGGCGGCTGACCCTCGCGAATTCTCGTCTTTGAACCACCGTTTGTCTTTGCCCGCGAAACCCTATACTTGGTTTCGGCGTTTCGTGCGAGCCTTTCGAACACTGAAATTCTTGCGGGATTACTGTGAATGCAGCTGGATTGAGACCAGTTACCGCCCGAATGACTTGAAGAAGCGCGCATGAGTTTCTTGTTCTCGGGGACTCCTCTTTTGGTTCTGTTTCGTAGCCCCACGCACGGATTAGCTACAACTCGTCATTGTGACAGTCGGAAAGTAACTATGTGTGTGGCACGACTCTCAGGTATTAACATATCACTATCAGATGTATGTTTCTCTGAGGGTGAATTGCCTTCTTGGACTTTCAAGAGTCACGCCGCCTTGAGACATGACTTTCTTCGGGCTGAAATTCAGCGGCTTCTTGGACCTCAATTGCGCAAATTTGCGGCGCGCAGTTGGCTTGAGCTCTTGTCATGTTGGAGGTGCGTGACCCCCAGCGTGTTGATTCGTTCGGGTTTTCTTAGGGGCCCAAAGTTCTTGGATCGTAGTTTGCTTCGCTCATCGGGAATTGGGACCGAGGGCTCCAGCGGCTTTCTTCTTCGGGAGGATTTGATGATCTCCGAGTAGTAGCTATGGAATTCTCGGCGATTAGCTGCGGCTTGCCGGAGGTTGAATTTGGTTGGAGTGCAGTGATGCTTTTTGGTCTGAACCGGCGCCCTTCAGCTTCGGCTCCAAACTTTGCGGTGAATCGGTCCCCACGTGTAGGGTGGCGTTCTGCGACTTCTTTTTCTGAACTTCTACGGGCTTCTTCGGTTGAGCCGTGCCTGCGCTGATTTAGTGGCGCGGCCGTTTTGCGATGCGTTTTCAGCCGCTCTAAGATTCCGTTTGACACGACCCATTCCTTGTTGGCGGCCTTGAAGACGGCGGTTTTCTGTTGTGATGGCTGTTTGCTCTCGTGGTTCTTCATGACCGCGTCTGTACGGGGACTCTGTCGGTGGATCCATCGCTTTGGAATGTTTGGCAAGCTGTTGGCGTTGCCTTTGGCGGCTCTCTTGAGAGAGTCACCGCCTCCTTTCGGTGACGAAGGAATTGGGTTGAACAGCTTCATCTGGTTGTGAGATTCGGTGGAGCCTTCATTCTGACGACTTGGCGTCAATCGAGATCGAGGTCGTGGTTGTTTAGCTTCAATTCTTGGTGTACCAACTCACCTTTCTGTTTGGAAGAGAGACTTGGGACTTCTTGAATTGCGGGGGAGGTCGATTAGAACGAGGATGAAAGCGTCTCCTCGAATTGGTCTGATTCGAATCGTATTCGACGTCATCCACGCTGGGATAAAAGATCCGCCTGGCTTGCGACGCTCCAGATCTCGGGCAGCCGAGATCCGGTGGCTCCCACTTGGTTTCGCCAGATTGTTCGCGGGAAAATTCGTTGCTTTCCTTTGTTATTGAGTTCATTGTCAATCTTGAGTTACAATCTTTTGAGTTACAAAAGGTCCCGGTCTTTCTATAAGTCCGGTATACAAGAAATGCAAATAAATAAACAGAGATTACAAATTTTTCCTTATGTCGAAGACGTAATCCGCGAGGTCCTGTTTCGCGTGCTCGCTTGGTGGGTTCTTTTGCTGCGCCGGGGTTATTTGCCTGTGCGACCACGCGCGAGATCTAATCTCGATCTAGCAGTACGACGGGTATTATTTCACCAAGTGGAAAATAGCGGCCGGAGGTAATTGTTTCACCAACGTGGAAACAATCGTCCCAAGATCTCAGATCTAAAGACCAAGCTTAGGTCCGGAGTATGCCTGCCGTAGATCTGAATCTGATCTCTCGAACCGCCTTATTTGACGTTATGATCAGCTAGGCACCAGATCTGAGAGCGAGTCCCGACAGTCCCAAAAAATACAATAAAAGGATAAAAAAGGAAACAATTGTAACCAAAAACGTTCCAATCTTTTTTAAGTTCCAGTCTCCAATCCAGCAGGGCTTCGCCTCTCTCCAAATTTCCAACCTTTTGAAAATGACAGAACCCTCTAGCCTATTTATATCCTTCGTCACTGTGCCATGCCCGTGTGCAGTACCGTGGCCAAGTCAGGTGCGGCCACCTCAAGGTGGCTCGGCTCATGCCGAGCCACCAAGAGGTGGCTCGGCCGGCCACCTTGGTGGCTCGGCCACCGAGCCACCTCTTGGTGGCTCGGTGGTGGCCGAGCCACCTTGGTGGCCGCCGAGCCACCAAGGAGGTGGCTCGGCCTCCGAGCCACCATTTGGTGGCTCGGAGGTGGCCGAGCCACCCCAAGGTGGCTCGGCCACCGAGCCACCTAGGTGGCTCGGCCGAGCCACCACTTGGTGGCTCGGCCACCGAGCCACCTTGGTGGCTCGGTGAGCCGCCTCGGTGACTTGGTTTCCGAGCCTCTTTTCGGGTGTGTTGTTCCGTCGTTTTCCGCTCTTGGTTCTATCTGTGATTCAGTTCTGTGGTTGATTTATCCAGACTTGATTCGTTGACCTGATTTGGCAGTAAATCCGGATCCCGATTAGGCAGTAAATCCACTTCTGAGTCTGAGTCCGAAACTGATCTTGATTCGATCGTGATTCGTCCGAGTTTCCCCTTGGTTGGATGGCTCGTTGACTCTTCGAACACTTGGCTTGATCCCGCACGCGAATGGATGTATTCCGTTGCTTGCGTGCGATTCGTCGATCTCGTCGCCTCGTTGGTTTGTCGGTTCGTGCCGAGCTGAGCTAAGGGACCTATAAGCAATTTTATATGCCTACAATGGTAAGTAGCAAGTTGGGTAAAAAAATGATTTTGATGTAAAAACTAAAGATGAAGGACTATCTGAAAAAAAAGAGGGGGGAAAAAAATCTGAAAACCAAAAAATTGGAAAGCAATAAATTTACAAACGAAACCACCATTTCACCGCAGAAGTAGGGAGAGAGGATTAAAAGTGGCTAAATATCTACGCGAGTCATCCTAACATACATCGTTCACCTATGTCTTTCCAAATATTTTAATTTCTCGTATTAAAAAAAATTCATTTCCTATAAGTATGGGGTGTGTCAGCCTTTTCACCAAAATCCACCTAAACCTATAGGATTTTGGTTTCCATAAAAACCCCCTCTTTTTCAATTTTATAGATTATAGATTTCGAAATCTATAAAATTATTATGAATCACACTTAGAAGTATGATTCATAAAGAATTTTTTATTTATAGTTTTGACCTATCAGATCCTATTTCTATTCTTGTTCTATAAAAAGAGTGAAACAAACCCCAATTATTATCTATATATATTACTAAAAACTCTTATCATTGCACACACCACTTGGCAATTTCTTCTTTTTTTAAAATTTCTTTAAAAAAAATTAATGCTATGAGAAATTTCTTTTTTAAAATTTCTTAAAACAAATTAATGTTATGAGAAATGTGTCCAGCCTCTCTCACAAATTTGCCATTTGGCATTTTCCACAATATAACAATAACTATTTTCCATAAATGCTTTCAATTCCCTAAGAATTCAACTGACTCTTAGAATTCCTCTACAAATTCAAATTTTCTCAAATAGCGTGAAAAAGAAGAAAATTCCGGATTTCCTTTATTAAATAAGTAGTCAACTTTTCTGCTGTGCTTTGATCTTCGGATTTCCTTGAAGGGGCAGTTTGGTTCGTTTCCTAGATATAGGGAAATACAATTCCATGTAAAGAAATACAAGTTTTGAGTTTTCCAAACTTTTTCAAGAAATAGATTGTTTCGGTTTGGTTCGCATATAAAAAATGGTGAGAAATCAATGTATTTACTTTTCATGTGTTTGGTTCGCATGGAAAAAGGGAAAACTTTTGTTGGTTTGACATTTCCCGGAAAAGTGTTTATGGTCACTATGGTAAGATTACCCCCATAATATACAAATTTATTTGTGCTCATTATATGAGGTAATCTTAATCATATAAAAGTTTAAATTTAACATGAACAAAGCAGAGCATCAGAAAATCTGTTGAGTCCATCAACTTGAACAAATGGCCATGCTCATGGGGACTGTTTTGAACAAATAAGAATAGAACCTGCCGATAATGACAAAACCGGCATGGTCACAAACTGAACACAACTAGGCATGGTATAGCATCAACAATATATGCATAAAAACTGGCCGAGAACAAAAGCACAACACAACCGGTCTCCACAACACAACTAGGCTCCGCAACACAACACCAAAACTGGCCGAGAACAAAAGCACAACACAACCAAGCTCCACAACGCAACCAATCTCCACAACACAACCAGTGCAAACACATACATGAACTTTTAATGTATGAATTTTACTAAACAACATGAAGACACATGCTAACTGTTGTTCTCACACTCAGAGAAGTCTGTATACATACACATATATATCACAATATGAAAAAAGAAATTGGACAAATTGGATGCAATTTCTGATAAAAACAGGTTTATGAAAATCCTTGAAATATCACAATATGAACTTGCATATATTTCCATTTGTATTTAAGTCTCAAGTCATAGAAATCTACAAAAAAGGAAGCAAGAATCACCTGCAAATGGCTCTTCACTTCATCATTGGTGAGTCCATCAACCTTCATCAGCTCCCTGATCTGCTTCGGCGTCCTAACTGCAAATATTCATCAAGCCACACCAAAAACCATCAGATACAATAACAAACAACACTAACATCAAAACCAACAAAAATTATTTGCATCCATTAAAACTCACTGTGAGATACACCGAGCTGTTGCAGGGCATCAAGAACCTCTGATGGTATCAAAAACAACAAACAACACTAACATGTGCCCACAAAAAACTGAGCAGAAAAAATCCAGAAAAACAGCATATGCACACCAAACTGAACGCAAATAGATAGTAATGGTCACAAAGAATATGCACACCAACAACATCAAGAACCAACCAACAACATCAAGTAATCATGAGCTATTTACTGATTATGGATGAGGGCTCGGAATTTGATCGATATCATCATTGTTAGTCATCTAGTACAATATCAATAGATATTGCAGGTTGCTAATCTCAGATATTATGACAATCATCATAGTACAACATCAACCAATCAACCATCTAACCAGCCAACAACACCACCAGCCGACCAACATATAGAGGTAACATGTGCCCACAACCAAGCTCACAACCAGGCTCACAACCAACCAACCAACAAACAACACAACCAACCAACCAACAACATAGCCACGGGAGCTCGACGACGAGCACAAATAGTAACCAAAAAACAGCCACGGGAGCTTGATGATAAGTTATGGAATTAACAGAAAACTTGCATAGATCTTCTGTTGTGCAAGGAAAACCAGACCCATGCTAGCCTGGCCTGAAAACAAGCATATGGGCAGGTGTTGTTGCTTTTTCTGCGTAGGGAATAGGCAGTGCACTTATTTTGTATCTTCAAGAAGTTACAAGTAACTCATGAAGAAAGGATCAAGAAACTTTCATAACATCATTGTGGATGTTTCTTTAACCACTATATGTACAAGTTGTGATCTTCATATGCGTTTATTCACATTCAAAAACCTCTTTCCATCAAAATGGGTTGATTATGAAGAGAGAACAAATATAAAGAACTAAAAAACTGTATTCCTTTACAAAAAAGGACACGGAAGAACAAAAATAGAAGAAGACATAATGGAGCAACAAAGAAAAAAAAAGTCACATATCTCTATCTTTGGATGCAACCGACCACATAAATGCACAAGCTAATAAGCTCCACACTAAATTTGTGCATTCAATTAAAGAGTATTTTCTCAAGAACATAGGAAAAACAATTGCACAACGAATTGTAGACAAGTGACAAAGTAATTGAGAAGGAAAAATCATGAAGAAAAATGAGATTCTCAAACAGCTTAAAGTTGACAAAAAGAGAAAGAGAGTTTCCTGCTTATTTATTGTATCCTTAAGTCCATAGAATCCACAATTCATTTGGTAATGAAGATATGTTAGCCAATAAACTATACTCCTATATACAGAAATAAATCAGAAACATCAATTTGCCTAAGTGCATTTCACAGTAATTATTTGCATGAACCTTGCTATTCAATTAATTAGAAATTGAAAGTTTTGCAAGCTGCTCTAAGTGCTCCTACTCCTTCCATACCTTCTATAATCTCCAAACATCTCAAATTATTTGCTGGAAGCAGTAATTTCATTACTTATGCTTTGGCTGTGAAACTACAAGCAAAATCTACCAATGTATGGCCGAGGAAAATAGCTAAAAAGCTTAGTCTTTGCCAGAATAATGTCATTGTCTTTTCAATGATTCGTAGTCCATGACCACTATCATTTATTCACCCTGTTTCAATTAACTAAAATTTGTGCTAAATTTGGTGCTAATTCAAGCATAATCTCAAAAGTGATTAGTTAATTAATTACACAAAATGAGCTTGAAATTAATGGCTTTATCAGATTCACAGGGTTCAATCTACTAAAAAACACAAAATTGACAAACAATCTAGAGACTTCAAAACCCTAGAAGAACAAATAGATGATGGTATGAAAAGGTACGAACCATTCTGTCCTCGATCCCCTCAGGCCCACCGGCGGCCGAGCCGAGCCCAGCCTCGACATCTCCATCGCTTTGTACGCTTGGTTCTTCCCCATCCTATGTCGTTCAGGGCGAATGATTCAGGGATTGAGACTGGTACTTGGTTCAATTTTGATAAATATGAAAATCAAGCACGAAATCCAGGCGAAAGACGAAAATCAAGCACGAAACCCAGCCGCGGGAGATTTCTAGCGGGAGGAGAGGAAGGAGGTAACCCTAGCGTCACCAAAGAAATCAACGAGGGAGAAAAAATCCGAGTTGGCCAGCGGTTTCGTCGATTTCAATCGGTTGGGGAAGGAAATCGGGGAGAGAAAAAAAATCCTAGGTGGCGGAGTTTTCAGCGGCGATTTCCCTCTTCAACCATAGCGAACCAAAACAATGAAAAGAAATGAGTGGAAACAAAAAAATCCGACGTGGAGGGGGTGTCAGACGCAGAAACCCGTTTCCACCAGCCTTTTAAGCGAACCAAACAGAAAAGTAAACAGTCGTTCTTTAGGAACTCAACTTTCTCCTTTATTACTCACCTCCCAAGAAATCCTCTTCTCCAGTGCCTCATCTTCCCCACATAAACTAAAACTATCTATATCATCTCCCCTGCATTGAATCTTCCTCTTTTCAATCTCCTTCTTCCACACCATCTGCCTATACTACCTACTCCACTCTGCCGATGCGCTTTCCCCATCCTCATCTCCTAACACCCACTATTACCTGCTCCACTCTGTCGTTGCGCGTTCCACACTGCTTCTGCCTCAACCAGTCTTCGAAATGGTAGTTTATTCTTTGTGATTAATTCTAAGAATGTCTTAATAGTACTTAATTTGTAAAGTCTACTTCTCTTTCTCTGCTTTTTATTTAACTACGCAGTTATAAGGAACCTTAATAGTTCATGGCTATTCAATATTTATCAGTTGGTAATATATTTACACTGCATAATTATTATGATGCAAAATGTGTTTTATTTTCTTACAATTTATTGGTGGAATTTGATAAGTAATTCTATTAATATGCAGCAATAAACCATACATTTCCCAAAGGGGTTTCTTTAAGATATTTCCATTTTGACAATTCAGATCAAGATTAGAGCAGTTTTAGCAAACATTGAGTTGCATACTATGCCAACTATTGTATTCATTTATTTTCTACACATGCATTTTTGTCCTGTAATTGGTATATAGCATTTTCTATTATCATATCTTACTACGAAAAGTTGGCACTTCGACTCAAGAGGAGAACTTCTCCAAGTGTAAAGCTATCAAAATTCAAAATGAGACATTTGGACAAATTATTTCTGTTTCTACTGTTTCAATTATTTTATAAAATTTCTACTTTTACCTTTTGTTATATCATATCTCACTAAGTTTTACTTAAGCTATCCTTTTGTCAATTTAGCACAATATCCACCAGAGGACTCTATCTTTCAGTCTCCAATACTACGACTATTCAACTGATCTTGGTATTACTTGACAATTCTCCTGATTGTTTTTATTTCAATTGTAATTTAGTACATATTTATTATGCATGCTTTGTTTAACATTTGATGACTTTCTTTATATATAAGATTGAACTTTTTATTACTAATCTCAAACAAACTGTTGGGGTTACTATAAAAGTAGTAATGGAGGTAACTTCAAAATGTTATAGAGAATGAATTAATCTTTGAAAGTTATGATTGGTTGTGGACAAGAGTATTCTTAAATCAATGTATTACACATAATCGAATTGGAAAAATGGTAGTTCTGAAAAAGATTGTACCTTAACGTTGCATGTTACTTTTTCCCCCTTTCATACTGCTAATATAATGTGTCAGTTCAATAAAGAAGTTTGTGACAAGGTTCTGGTGCTAGCTAGATCAATAAGATATTTCCAGGCCTTCTACAAGAGAATGAGTGAGACTATTCAATATATTTCAGACTTTCAGTAGTCCTATCTTTCTAGATGGAGGCATTTCATTCATGGGTTTTCCTTTTATCTATCATTTATCGAATTCCTACTTTCTTCTTTGCAGTTCTTCAGCCATCCCACAGTTTGTGATCTTTTGACATAGGAAGATTAAAAGTTCTATCAAAACGCATGTGAATTAATATTAGATGTATGTGGTTTTGATGGGAATGTCAGCCCTTTTTGCATTTTCAGTATCTATAGCTTTATTGCCTCTTTTGAGTTTTTATAATTTGTAGGCCCACTGTGTTTCAATGAGATATCAGTGCTCTGGAATTTAGAGTCTTTTGATATGTTGATTCTCTGTGATTTAATTTAGTGTCATTTGATTTGTTGATTTCTTTGTGATTTGCTTTGACAGTAGCCTAATTGATTTCAATCGACGAGGATTTTTGCATCTGTTTCTTAAAGTGATGATATTTGTATTTGAATGTTAATGCTATTAGTAATTGTTTTAGTTGCTGACACAGATAAATTTGCTGATACAAATAAATTAAGTGTTCACTGCTGTGAACTTGAATCCAATGTTAGGAATGGTCGTGTGTACAATTATTAGATAGCTATCTTTTTCCTTTATTCAAGATCTAAACTTTCTTTGACAATAACCATGAAGAATTTTTTTTCCATAATTGAATTAGATTGTATCGAGTGAGACAGATATAGAAGATCCTCTTTCTTTCGTGTTTTCACATGGACAAGAGGTATATTCATAATTTTGTGTTGTTTGATAGTTAACATCTCACTTTTTGATAGAAAAGTTTTTTAATTAATTTTAAATAAGATTATCAAAAAGTATTGTAGGTTTAAATTTTGAGGTGACATTTAAAGATGACAGGTTCAACTACAATTAAAAAGTTGCAAATGTTATAAACTATTGATATTTAAATTCTTTAATTGGTTTATGAGAAATGAAAGATTAGAGACGAGTAAAAGGATTTCCGGGTATCTTGGACATCTAGATAAAGGAATATATTTGTTTGTAAGGAATTTTCTTGAGATGACTAAATATTATAAGCCTTCTATATATAAATGTTAGATTAATAGCTATTTGCCCACCATCGATCAGATAAGGTACTCACTATTAATAAAGCTACTAGAAGTAACATTCTCATTATATGATCGTAGCATCAGTATTGTAGCTATTTACTTATATAAGTACTTTCATCAACTCTAACTTGTATTGTATTGTAGCTATTATTGGATCTGAAGTCATTCTTAGTACTAGGATACAAGACTTCCCTTCTAAGTCATGTTTCCAACTTTTACACTTTAATATTCAGAATAATTTTCAATTTTCAACTTCGAGTGAAATTCCTATTTTCTTTGATATTGTTTGTAGCTTTATTGTTGTAAATATGCTGGTATGTCGCGGCCGTGAGGTTTGACATTGATTATTGAAAGGAATTAAGGTGTTCCCTTTATTATGCAATCTTAAAATGAAATGGTTGTGATCCATTACTCGCAACATAGTTATTGTGACAAGTCTTAGCTATTTTCAATTCTGTCGCATGTATAAAAGACCTATATTGTAATATAACTACATTTACAGATTTGATCTTTTTTTTTTGCAAGTTTCAAACAGTTCCTTGAACTTTAATTTCTTAAAGAGTTTGAGTACTTTCAAAGTGTGATGAAAATGTGTGTGTATGTGTTTCTCAAATTTATTTGGTCTTAGTGGAGAATGGGGCGATTGAGATAGAGAGCAGTGTTACTTTTTGGATTATATGACATTTTTGTGTTTAGAGATCAAAAATTGTAATTTGCATAGAGGAACTTTAGTAATGTCAATATTTTATTCATATGGTACTATTATTAGATAATTTACATTATCATTTAAATTATCAAATTTGTCACTATACATGTATTTATATTGATAAACAGATTGAATATGGCACCAAAACAGATTGAATATGGCATCAAAAGTGTGTGTGTGCATGTGAGTGTGTGTATATGCATTCCGTACTAAATTTTTTCCTTCATGCAACAACATTAAATTGCAATGCAGTTTGTGGGGTGATTACGCTATTCAAGTTTCGCACTATGTACAGAAAGCTAATTCAGGAATTATTATAAATGGTGATTCAACTTGCAAAGAGAAAACCATATAGAGGTAAATCAAATTAGATGTATACTAATTTATCAAAAGAGATATATTTTTATTTCGTAGATTATGCTTATATATTGACAAAATCATGAATTTAAAAACTTTATTTCTTAGGTAAAATTACTATTACAAATGCCTTATATGCGTCCAAGATATTAATCAATCCTGACATACTTGAAGTTGCTGATCTAAAAAAAGATACATGATGAATTATCTCATTCGTTGGTTATTTACAAGTAATTTGATATTATTTTTAATTAATTTAATTTTAGTATCATAAATCTGAGACTTGTGAAAGATTCTTCGTCTCAACGATTTAGTTAGATTCCAACTGAAAAAGCTTATTCCATCGAGGATGATTTTTTGTTATTAACTGAACGGAAGATACTTGATGAAATTCGAGGGGCACGAGAGGTAATTATTTTGAAGAAGTGACTTTATTGATATTGCACTGCTTATTTAAAATGTGAGATTAGTGGCAAACTAGATAACTAATCTGAAGACAATTGATAATTTTATACCAAATTATTGATAACTTTGTTTTCTTACTATTTAATAATACTCAGGTTTGCACATGTGTGACATTAGCAACTATAGAGAAAATTCAAACAAATTATAATTGGTTTTACAATTCCTGCAAAAAATATCAAAGGATGGTAAAGGCTGAAAATGGTAAATTTTGGTGTGAGAAATACAATAAAAACGCAATATTTGTTATCCCAAGGTACGTTAGGGAGTATGTATGTCAGTTTTTTCACAAGTTATATTTCATCATATGCTTCATGAATGGATGTCTGGATCTTCAACGTACACTTTAGATCACAGTTCTTATTGGTTTATTTAATTTTTGAGTTTCATCAGGTACAAGGTTCAGGTTTTAGTCATTGACCATACATGTACTGCATCATTTGTTTTGTTTGATTGTGAAGCTAAACAGTTTATTCACAAATCTGTAGTCGATTGAGGGAACGAATGACAAAAGTAAGCACTCTGATTCCTTTCTGTAAAAATTAAAAGTTTTAATTCAATAGCTTTACTTTGCTTTTTTATATTGTTAACGGGAAGGTGATGATGATTCATTTCCTCAAGAGTTAGATGTGTTGGTGAAAAAGAAACTTTTGTTCAAGATTCAAGTTTCAGAATTCAATCTCAATCAAAATTGGCCTGTATTTTCTGTCTCTAAAATGACTGATTATGAAAATCTGATAGCAGCTTTCAGCAACGACTTAGATTTGAACCAGGTACATTACATATTTCCTTCTTTTATAGAGCTACATATATATATTCATTGCATGTATCAATCTGCATATATATATATATATATATGAGGTTGAGTAATATATTAGTTTAGAACTAAACTTTATGCTGCATACTAATTACTTGGTATAACAAAATATTATAACATTAATCATATAGACATGAGACATTTTATCTATTTTGTTATGATAATAGGAAAATTATATTTTAATTTTTTTTACAATTTAATAGCAAGTCAAACATATATATAGCTTAGGTTGTATCATTTCTGACTACTTATATATTATTACTGTTTTATTTTGTATTCTTTTACTACATCAACGTTTGTATATTAAACAAATCCGTGCGATGCACGGACCTGAAACTAGTAATATCCAAATCCCATTTTCTCGGTTGGATTAATCTGCTGTCGCTTCCCTCCACACTTTCTCACTTTCAATCTTCTTTCGGAAATCCTTGTTCCCATTAGAGATTTATATATTTTCCCCATTTATTTATTTATCCTCTTAAAGTTTCTCTTTTGAGACCCTTTTGCACTTTCTCGTTCCACTAATAATCTTTTTATGGTGATTGGGTTTGATTAGATTAGGATCAACAAGGGGTGGAGATAATGGGGATTTCGCCTAGATTCCTAATGCGCTCTTCCTCAAAACACGTAAATCACAGAACTCACTAAATAAAAAGAGGGAGGGGAGAGAGAGAGAGACAGAGAGGAGAGAGTAACAGGGAATTCTTTGTACTTTCCCCGCTGTTGTTCCAGCGCACTCTTTGTCGTTGTTGAGGGAAAAGATAGTGAACCGAAGATCTGCAGTTTTAAGGCTGTATAGGATATTGATTATGAATTGGCGAATCCTTTGGGCAGTTGCTTTGGAGGATTCAGGAATGAACCCAGATGCAGAGAAAAAGGTAGCCCCTCTCAGATTTGCAAATTATTTTTGGCTGTTAATCAAATCGATTGGTTGTGTTTGGTTAGAATGAAATGGGTTGGCTGATTGTTGAGTTCCGCAGTTATGGAAATTTTTAGGTTGGGTTTGAATTGATTTATTTTTAATTTTTTTGGTTACTGGGATTGTTCATTTCTTGTGATCTATTGCCAGATTTAGAAACTAGGCATCATTTTGTGAGCAGGAACCAGGAACAGTTGATCTGGTTTGCTCTGAATTCCTCATATGAGCAATATTTCCTTTTTTAAAGGAAAATCAATTATCGTTCTATGTACATAGATTTTGCGCTGGTATTGCTTTTTCTTGTCTTCCGTTATGTTAATATTTTTTCAGTAAAGATGTTTTTTAGTACAAAATTATTTGTATGTGATGTATAACTACACATGTGTGGAGGTATAATACCCTTTTTGATATACCAGTTTATACCCATTGGAGCCATAGAGGTGTTACACTATTAGTTTCGTTAATTCATGCAATGAGTGTTCATACTCCATTCCTATCCTATATAAAGGCGGTTTCATAGACTATTATTCATGGATTCAAAAGGTTGTTGTGGTGGTTGAATAAAACTAACACATAATATGAGTATCTATATCTTGAGTTGGCCTAATATACAAACTATACAAGCGGATTTCGTGCAGCATGTCAGTTTAAGCAAAATGTTGGATTTGTTCAGGCTTCCTTTTGAGCTAAGCGGTTGACCCTAACATATAAATTACATTGCAAAGGTGGGTCTGTTTGATTAATCAACGTCATAGTCAATGACACGAGATTTTTTTTGGGGCGGGGGGGGGGGGATGAAAGTACACACAAGAAAGAAAGCATATTTATTTTGAGTTGGCAGTTAACTAACCAATCTAAACACTATTTAAGTATGACCGTCTTTGGGAATTTGCTTGATTTCTGGCTCAAGCTTTCTTGTTTTCCGGATTGATGATCTAAATTGACAATAACGTTACGTTACATGTTCTGAACTCACAAAATCGTATATACTTGATTATTTCTGAAACAATTTGAGCAAATCTTCCCATTCAAATGAAATAGGGTATCAAATGAAAGAACCCATTAAAATGATCTACATTATTAATAGTGCTTAAAACTGAAATCACTTCAAAAATCTTTTACCCTACATGGAATAATGGATGATCTAAAGAGCCGTTTGTCATAATGTTTGAGACCTATTAAAAAAATTGATTTGTAAATATGAATGTTAAATGTGAACGTTTAGATTTAACTATTTTTTGCCGAAAAAGTGTAGAATTGAATGGAAGTTTCAATTCAACCTCTGTTTTGACTGCTTCGATGCACTATTTTTTAAAATGTTTATATTTGCAGACACTTTTAGATTAATGTAGACTCAACTTTAATTGGTGGATCATAAAATGGATTTCATTGAATTTCTTGTGTTAGAATTTTACTTAAAAGAATTCTTACCAAAGGCCCAATTCTCTCTCTTTATATTTCGTTATACTTGTGCCAGTTCGTTCTCTTTATATCAACCATTTTCAGTTTTTGACATCTAAGTCAATTAATTACTGAATATGATTCTTGTGGGCTGTAGCCTTCAGAGAAGTAGACTTCTTCAGCAGAATATGGAGAGGGAAGCAGGTATAAATAGAAGAAGTGATAGCAAAGGGAGCTATGGTGTTGTATCTCTTGCCATGATACACATGCTGGAGAGAAGGTCGCACCAGAAAAATAATGATAATCTCGGAACATTTTTCTGATGCTACAAACCGCATTCTTCGCGAGATTAAGCTTCTTAGGATCTTGCGCGGCCATCCTGACATTGTGGAATAAAACATATTCTATGCGCCTTCTAGACGGTGAATTCAAGAAGAGTGTTGTTTTGAGCTTATGGATCTGACCCTACATCCAAGTGTAATTAAAGCAAATATTGATCTAACTCCCAGAACACTACCAGTCTTCCTTTATCAAGTTGCTTTCGAGGTCTGAAGTACATAACTACAGGGATACTCCCTTTGCATAGTGGATTAAGAGAGTACTCAACATTCGTATACTTTCCTTCCTGTCATGTTTTCTTTCCAAAGGTTTATGCATGCAGTCATCGCTTCTGTACATCAGTTAGATAATCCTATATTAGAAATACGCATTGTGGCACCTTTGTGACAAAATTCTTTTGATGCTTGCCTTTTGAGTTATTGGGTAGCGTTTTCTGGAAT